TCGCCCCCCACGCGCGGCACGCGGCCCCATGGTGAGTTCACCCCCGTGCCCCCCGCCCCGCTACATTCGCAGCTGCGTATGCGTGGGCCCTTCGCCAGGATAGCTGTTGTTCTCCATGCTGCCGCATGGTGTCGTTGGAATCGGTGCGACTGTGCGAGTCGATTCTGCCTTCTGCAAGCTGGCTCATGTTGTCGTTGGAGGTCGCTGGGTTCGGTTCTGCCCCACGTGCGTTTTATGTGCGTCTCTCGGCGCCGCGGGGTGGTCCAGGATTGCCCGCGGCCCCCCCCCAGAAGTTCCCCAAGGCCACCCGCGGTGCCCCAGAATCGCGGAGGGTCCAGTCGGGTTCGCATGCGCCCCTGGTGCGGTGCTCCAGATTTCGCGAATATGCCCAAGGTTCTTTGGGATTTGACATGGAACTGCCAGGTTATTTCGGGTTTGCACGGTTTCCATGCGTTTGAAAAGAATTCGGTAGGTGGCGTAAGGTTTCATATGGTTTTGCCTAGATTCATTAAATGGTCTAGAGAACATCTATATTATTTGCGATTCCGACGTATTCCGTTGAATTACTGAAGGTTCTTCGGGGTACCGCATGGTTCTTCCATATTTACAAGGGTTGCGTATAATTTCCTGGTGCCCTCTCGGGCTCTGCAAGGCCCCAGACGTTCCTTACGTGCCCCGATTGGCCCCCAAAGGTTTTCACTGTTGCCCCGATATTATGTCACAGTTCCACTGGTTTCCGTTGCGCGCTCAAGGGGTTCGCGTGGGCCAGGCAGACTTCCGAAGGCCCCCCGCTGCGCCGCGTGTCGCAGCGGCGCAACCCGCGCGCGCCCGCCCCGCGCATGCCCCCCCCCCCCCCGCGCACACACACACACACACACACACACACACACACACACACACACACGCACACACACACACACACACACGCACGCACACACACACACACACACGCACGCACACACACACACACACACGCACACACGCACACGCACACGCACACGCACACGCACACGCACACGCACACGCACACACAATACCAATGAGAAGGAGAAGCGCTAAAAACATAATAGCGCTAAAGAAGAAGCGCTAGCACGACATCAAAACACAATATAGCGCCAGAAGAAGAAATAACGGCGTAAGCCTGAATAAACTCTTGGCGCTCCGCGCGGAGTTCTTGGATTTGCGCTGGGCCCCCTCCCCGGCGCGCGGAGCGCGCCAGGGGCGGCGCCGGAGTGCCGGCGGCTAGGAGGCATCTGTTTTGGGCGATTCGGTGCAAAATCCGAGGCGTCCAAGAGGGGGGTGCCCAAGAAGGGGGAGTGCAAATCATGGCCAGTAGCATGTGTGCGGCTCAGGGGGGGGCTTGGACCGTATTGAAATAAGAAGGGCGCCAGGAAATCTGGGGAGGTATCATGGCCCCCGCCATGATATCCCCCCGCCCTAGTCATCACTCCCTCTTCGCCGCCCCCGACAACACCCGATCGCACTCCCCCCCCGCGGGGCACATCCCCTTTGCGGGGTCCAGAGACTGGCCGACCCCTCCCCCTCCACTTCCACAACCACCTCCACTGGTGAGGCTTCGGGTGGCACGCAGACTGCGCCCGCAGGTGCCCCGGTTGGCCTCAAAACAAAGCCCCCGAGCAGTCTGGGGCGGTTTCGACACCCTGGCGTCGCCTCTGGCGGCGCCCCTGGTAACCAGCCTCGAACTGATCCCTATCCCTAAGATGAGCGAGCAAAAAGCTAGGACAATCATAGGGATGTGCCCTCAGAAATTGAGGGGATCCTCACGATCGGCATCGGGGTGAGGCGATGCCAAGCACAGGGACAGGGATATGTTTCAAGCTGGTATCCTGGGGCGCCCCGCGCCCCAGGTTGAAGTGTGTATGCGCAGACCGAAGCCCTACCAACCCTGGAGACGCACTGAAATAAAAAGGGGCACCATGTAAAATCTGGGGAGGGACATGGCGGCCCCCGCCATGAGGACCACCCCCCCTGGGTCATCACCCCCGTCTTCCCAGATCTCGACGGCATGATTCTTCATAACGTGGACCCCCAGGAGTCTCGACTCATTCCCAGGGACCCGCTTCTCGTCCCGAGTCGTTGTTTGGCGGCCCCGAGGCCCCGTAGGGGCTCCCTGGCGTCCTCGAGGTGCGGATGACGGCGGCGCTCAAGCGGCAGCACAAGCTTCGCCTGAGGCCATGGCAGCGGCCGCCTGGATCGAGGATCACCTTCGACATCCTGAGGCCGTTCGTCCGTGACAAGAGTAAGAAGTACACGGTTTACCAGAAGTTTCTGGTCAAAGGCCTGGCGTGCGGAGGCTGCTCGACGCGGGGGCGAGCCCGTCTCAGCGGTTACGAGACCGACGGGAAAAGCGCTTGCGGCCAGGCCGACACCGTGCAGCACCGCCTGTACACCTGCACGCGGCAGGACGTCGTGGCGGCGCGCGAGGAGGCGGAGATTGATGAGAGCTTCCTCGCGCGCGGCGCCCAGGACGGCGTCGGCCGGCCCCTCCTCCACGGTTGTTTCAAGTACCAGGGCAGCGACATCCCTCGACCAGATCCTGGTACAGAGGCCCGCGTCACAGACCTGGACGGCGGCCTGGTGGACAGCGAGGCTGAGGAGATGGTCTCCCGCGCCTGCCCCGACGCCGTCGAGATCGAGCTGGCTGCCGACGGCTCCTGCTCCGAACGGGCCCTCCCCGAGCTGGATTGCGCGGGCTAGGCAGTCGCCCTGCTCGACCCCGCCTCCGAGGTGCCGCTGCTGGCGCTCCACGGGGCGGTGCCCGCGGCCATGCCGCAGAGCTCCGCGATGGCCGAGTTCCTGGGCATAGCGTTCTCGGCGCAGGTGGCGGGTCGGCCGGCGGACCTCCACCTGGATTTCATGAGCGCAGTGAGGGCTGGCCGCAAGTCTCTCGCTGCGCAGGCTCTGGAAAAGTCAATGCGCTGCGCAGTCTCTGGCTGTGTGTCTGGCAATAGCATGCCGGGCAAAGAGTACAGTGAATCACATTAAGGCTCACCGCTCGGGAGAGGCGTATGCACAGTTGGGTCCTGCTGAGCGCAGGGTCACAGATGCGAACATTGATGCATATTGTTTTGAGAAGCGCGCTGTCCTGTTCCGCCCACCTCCTTCCAGGTCATTGAGTGACGCTATCGAGAAGTCTGAGAAATATTGTGCGCAGTTAGTTCGATTGGCGTCGTCGGTCCTCCCCCTGTATGAACGGGAAGAGAGATGGCAGAGGCTTCCAGTGTTTAGTTTAGGCGCAGTCGACATGTAATGCGTGCTGGATGGCACGACTGGTGTTCTACAGGTGTTCGCCAGCAGAGTAGATGTTGCCTTTCTGTGCTCCAGAGCGGCCAAGACAGGCCCCTGACGGGGTGCCACGGGACCCCAGATTTCTTGAAGTCTTTCTTGCAGGTCCCGACGGGCCCCCGATTAGCTGCTGTGCATCGGTCGGGAATTAGATGTGTCGCCCCGTCCGAGGCGCTCGATCGACCCGTATTCGTGTGTGTGTGTGTGTTTGTGTGTGTTTTTGTGTTTGTGCTTGTTTGCGCGTGTGCTTCTGTTTGTGGTTGTGTCTGTGCTTGTGTGTTTGTGGTTGTGCTTGTGTTTGTGTTTGTGCATGTGTGTTTGTGTTTGTGTTTGTGTTTGTGCTTGTGTTTGTGTTTGTGTTTGTGTCTGTGCTTGTGTTTGTGTTTGTGTTTGTGTTTCTGTTTGTGGTTGTGGTTGTGTTTGTGCTTGTGCTTGTGCTTGTGCTTGTGCTTGTGCTTGTGTTTGTTTGTGTGTCTCGTGCGGTGCGGGGGCCCAGCAGCGGAGGAAAGCGCAGCTGCATCGGCCGTGTCCCCACCCGACGGTGCAAGGGACCGAAGTGCTCCGGAACCTCCGAAAGGGAGTCGGGCCTCATAGAGGCCTGGCTCGCCAGATTTCGGCGGCCCTCCCACTCGACCGCGTGAATCGGACAGCTCGGGCCGCGACGCCATGCAGCCCTGCGAGGTTCGCACGGCTGCGCTCCTGAAGCGCGTCCACCTCAGAGGGGCTGCCAGAGCGGGGCAGCAGGTGTCGAAAGTGGCACAGGGGCGAGTGCCTGAAAAGGCCCCGAGCGCCACCCGCTGCCCCCCGAAGTGTGTCGTCTCGAGAAGCGTTCGCTTCGGCGTTATTATTCTACTTCTTCTTCCTCCTGCTTCTTCTTCTGCTCCTCCCGCGCTGCTGAACCCAAGCCCTTGTACCGCTGATGGTACACAGAGGACAATTGGCGTTGAGTCTGTCGCAACGTCGCAACAAACCCTGGCAAATGCCAGGAGTGTTCCTGCCGACCAACCCACGCGTCCCTCGGCCTTCTTGCATGATTCTTTCATGACTCGAGGGGGTCTGGGTTAACAGGAACAAAAAACAGCATAAACGTAAACTGTTGGCGGTCCGCGCGGATTTCTTGGATCCGCGCTAGAACGCCCTCACTCGCGCGCGGAGCGCACCAAGGACGCCGCCAGAGGCGCCGCCAGGGGGGCCCCAGCGCGGATCCAAGAAACCCGCGCGGAGCCCCAAAAGCTTATGTTTGTAACGTATTTTCAACTTCGACTCGAGAGGATCTAGGTTGGCCGCTCCTGAAAAACTAGAGGCCTTCTAAATGGGATCCGAATAGATGGGGTCGGAGGATTGCACCGGATCGCCGATAATCGTCGACGTCGGCGATGCATCGGCGACGTCGACGTGAAGCAAATCGGGCTGCACATCGAGCCGCATCGTCGATGCAGTGGCGATGCGGCGCGATCCTCCGACCCCCTCCAGGAGGGCTGGAAAAACCTCCACCCCACGGGATGCGAAGATCCCTCCCCCCACCTGATCCGCCTCCTCCTCCTCCCCTTTCTCCTCCTCCTCCTCCTCCTCCTCTTCCTCCCCTTTCTCCTCCTCCTCGTCCTCCTCCTCCTCCTCCTCCTCCTCCTCCTCCTCCTCCTCCACTTCCTCCTCCACCCCGCCAGCCCGCGCCGCGCCGGAGCTGAGGCGAGCGCCGCCTTCCGGGACGGGAACTCCCTGGGAGCTGCGCCGCCGGGCCACGTCAGCTGCTGCAGGTAGGCCTATGGGCGCCAGCCGCCCGCGCGGCGGGTCCCCGGAGGGCGGCGGCGAGCCCTGCCTCCACCACTGACGGGGACGGGCAAAAGACTTTAGGACCCCTCCTGAGCACCAGAGTGGCCCATTTCACCGCGTCTCGGCTGTAGCCTTCTCCTCCTCCTCCTCCTCTTCCTCCTCCTCTCCCCCATCTTACTCTTAGGCCTCCTCCTCATACGCCTACGCTTCCTCCTCCTCCTCCTCCTCCTCCTCCTCCTCCTCCTCTTCCTCCTCCTCCTCCCAGGTGGGTTTCGAGTAGATCAGGTCGGATGACCTCGCCGCATCGCCGAGGTTTCGACGATGCATCGGCGATGCATCGGCGATTCATCAGCGATGCATCGGAGACATCGATGTTAGAATGTCTGGATCGGTCGTCTAGCGCCTCCGTAGCAGGAGCATGCATAATCCGTCTTGAGCGTTTCGCCTGAAACGTCCTCGCAAAAATGGCACGCTCATTTGCTTAAGAACAAGTAAGCGTTTTGCTTGAGACATCCTCAAAAAACTGATGGCCGCGAACTCGGTGAATCCTCAAACATGGGCGTTTCGCTCGAGACATCCTCACAACAGTGATGATACGGATTACTCATGTAGCTCTGTATGACATGAAGATCAGAGCTACGACGCGGACCTTGGGGATGGTAGTAAAGTTCGCCCCCCGGCCGCCTGATGTGCAACTTGAACAAAATAGGGCCCAGGGGTAATCAGGCACAAGGGGTAGAGGGGGAGCGATTCCTTATGATCGTCGGCGTGCGGGTAGGGGCGGGATGCATCGACCTGGGATCGGCATCGACGATGGGCCCTCGATGATGAAGTCGCACCTCCATTTGCAGGTTGGGGCCATCGGGCCCCTGTCGGCGATCAATGGGCGATTGGGAGTCGATGCGTCCCCCCGTGTGCCTGTCACCCCCGATCGTTGCCCCCGGACAACCGACTTTCGGCGGCGCGCCTGGTTTTTGATAGAGCAAGCCACTCGATGAAGGTACCACTTGGGCCTGGTCCTCTAAGGCAATATATATGGCATGGGAAGACCAAGTGCGGTTGGGGGGGAAAGGTCGGACCTGCTCGAGCAAGATCAGGGGGGAGAGAACAGAGAAGATCGTACTGTTTGAAGCACAAACCAATCCACTTAGTGTCAGTGAGTCGTTGCCGTTTCTGTCCATGGGAACCCCATTCCTTCATCCTGGGGGGAAATGAGAGGAGTAGGAGGAGGAGGAGGAGGAGGAGGAGGAGGAGGAGGAGGAGGAGGAGGAAAGCCACTGGGGCTCAGGCCATTTTGGCAGAGCACAGGGCTCAGGCGCCGCGCCCACCTCGCGATACCTTCTCGCGAACGCTCCCGCGGCCAGGCCCGCGGCTGAGCATCAGAGGGCGCGCGCGACACACGGCGCGCTCGGGGCGCCGCAGAGGTTCCCCCGAGCCGGCCTGGCACAAGAGGCAGCGGGCAGAGCGGGGGCGAGCTAGGCTGCTCCTCAGCGCGCTCCAGGCCAAGCGCCTCCTCGAATCGCACCACAGCGCAATGGGAGGAGGCACGTGGACATGCAGACAGTGCGAGACCAGGAATCCAACTCTTTGTGGACTTGCTCCTGCGGCAACGTGTGGGCTCCTCGCCCTGACCCCACCAGACGTTTTGCCAGCAGAAAGAGGGGCCAGAAGAAGTCCGCCAGCATCAGGGAATTGATCGCGCAGATTCCAGGTGCAGCACCTGATGAAGCGATTGCCAACATCACGGTGTGGGAACCTCCGCCGCCAGAGGCGGATGACCTGAAGATCTACAAGTCGAAGGCCCAGTCGAGGCTCCAGAAGTTCGCAAACCTCCTCGTCGCGGTCCGTGACGCAGGGAAGGAGGACCCTGCCCTGGAGTTCGATACCAGCGTGCTCAAGTACATGACGAGCGCCAGCAAGGGCTCGGAGAAGCAGCTGCATGCGCTGAAGGCCCAGCTCATCAGCGCCAAGGAGAGGCTCGGCAAGATCCGAACCAAGGTCGAGGAGCTACTGGACGAGGGGGCGACACTCTGCCTGATGGTGCAGAAACGGCAGAACTCCACCCAGCAGCTCCGTGAAGCGGAGGACGCGCCAGATCACGATGAGGACTGGCTGATGGCCCCGCCAGGAGAAAGCGAGCGCGGCCTCAGGGCCGCCAGCAGCGCCCAGAGGCCATGGGTGCAAGCGGCGGCCGAGAGGGCGGCAGCGCAGGCAGAGGCAAAGGCTCAGTCAGCCGAGGCCGCGGCGGAGGCGATCGCGAACAGAGTGCCGCCGCCACCGCCGCCAATGCCTAACCAGCCACCGCTGCAGAAGGTTCAGTAGGAGCCGCCTCAGAAGGCGGCCCCGCGCGCAGCCTCAGGGGCGACGCGCGGCCAGGCAGCCACAGCAGCAGCAGCGCCGACGGCGCCAGAGCCCGCCAGCCCCCGCGGCGCCAGGCCTAAGGGCCCGTGGGGTACGGGAGATGACGACCCAACGGCAGCGGCCATCACTGCGATGACGGAGCAGATGAAGGCCGTGCAGGCCCAGCAGCAGGCCATCCAGGAGCACCTCTCGAGGACGCAGACGGGCCAGAACTTCCACGCTTTCGCCCTGGCCAGGGTCTTGGGAGTCGGCACCGGCGCAACGGCAGGAGATGTGCTCATGGACGCACAGACCATTCAGCACCCCGCCTTCATGGATGACCTCGTCAATGGCATCGAGCTGTTAGACGCAAGGTTCTGGAAGGAAGCGGCCATTTCCCTTGTTACGGCTATGTATGAAGAAACCAAGTCTAGGGGGGTCACCATGAACTGGAAGGCGGGCAAGACGGAGCCCATGGCCTCTTCAGCGGCACAGGTTCCAGGAAGGCCCGAGGGGAGTGTGCGGCCCTGGCGGCCACAGGTCCTCGTTCCTTCCTTAGGCGTCTCCCTGTGCCTCACTAGGACCTATAAGCACTTGGGCAGTTATCAAGACCATCCAATCTCGTTGGGGCCCGCACTGGCACAGCGACGCCCTCTCGGGGCACTGAGGCGCACGGTGTTCCCTGGAAAGCAAGTTAATTTAAAAGCCAGGCTAACTTATGTTACCTCGCTGTGCACTTCGCACCTTTTGCTTAACGCCCTTACTTGGCACAGGCTAAATGTCAAACAGTTGGCGACCCTGGCGCACAATTATTTGAGCCCGTTTCGGTTGGCGGCTGGACTCGGCTACGATTCTACCTCAGGATAGGCGGCCGCGGACCACAGGGTCTATGTCACATGCGAGCTCATGCCCATTGGGCTGGTTTTGAAGCTTAGGCGGCTGCGATTGCCTCCCCGGCTTCTCAAGTCAGCGCCAGCTTGTATGCTGGCGATCCTCGACGACTTAGCTTCAGTGCCCGAATCGTGGTCCGCATTGCGTTGCGATGACCTCTTGTGGCTCAGCAGACATGTGAATCTAGCCAGAGAGTTCCAGCCCTCGGGGCCCCCTGCGTGGCGGTTGTGGCTCCTGAGGTCCAGCAGTAAAAAGTTCTGGATGCGAATTTGCAAGCAGGCGGAATCTGCAGCTAGGGCAAAGTTTTTGGACGATCAGCGCCACGAAGAATTCAGAGACGGGTGGCGGAGGCGCTGTATCTCCAAGGGTATTGCGCCCCCGCCGTTTCTTCGTTCGCCGTCTGCCCTTGCCTTGCATCCTTGCCTGGATTGTGGGGCGGCGTTGGCCACCAAGGGCGCATGGGCTTCCCATCGCTCGAAGCGCGACCCCCAATTAGACCCCGCCCCCAGCTACGCGTCAGGCACCGTGTGCATGGCATGCGGACTCAACTTTCACACACACACACATACACACACACACACCTCAGATGGCTCAAACACGTTCGGCATGGCTCGTCGAGGTGTCTGGCGGACCTTATGCCCCCCCCCCCCCCCCCCCCGTCGAGCCCCGAACACACGACGCAGGCTAGGGCTGAGGACGCGGAGCTAGCTCGCACGCTGGTTGAGGGGGGCGGCTGCTTCCAGGGCCCCCCTCAGGCATGCCGAGAGTTTCTTGTCAACCCATGTGCATCCAGGAAGAGGTACCCACCCAGGCGGTAGTCCACCTGCCCACGCCACCTGGCACTAAGTATGATTATCCGTACAGCTCCCAGGCGTCAAAGTGACATCCAGGACAGAGCGGAGAGTTCCAGTGCCATGGCGGGGCTGAAGGCTTTTGTTCTGCCATTAAATATACTCGAACTTTTCCTGAATAGCATCGAGGGATTTCGTAAGGAGCTCTTGTTCATTACCAATTTAATCCTGTCTGGTCGTGTTGTTGGTCTCTTGGCAGACCCCCCTTTAACCTCGCGGGGCCCCGCCCCCCGCTGCAAAGCCAAGGGTGGGGAAAGCAGGCCTTTCAGGAGCTGCGATGAGCCGTGGGGGATTTCAGCCAGGTCGCCCTCGGAGTGGAGGCAGCTAGAGCTCGACAGTGCGTGCCTTCGTGCGGCGCTGACGCTGGCGCTGTGTGCGGCGTCCTCGGGCCTGGCGACCTTGCTCACTTTAAGCCCACCTGCTCCGCAAGCCCATATGCCCTGTGTACGGAAAGTCCCCGAGGTCAGGTTCCTGCGCTCCCTGTCGGCACTGTTTCCGACACTCACGTCGAGATGTATGCCAATCGGGGACCGTCAGTGCCTGTTCTTGAATGCCGTACCGACTTTGGCCCCTCCTGACAGCAGCCAGGTTGAGTTCTACCTTGCTGCTGTCATCACCCAGGCCGCCTCGCAACGCTGTGCCCCCACGCCTCCTGAGGATGCATGGTTAGAGGCGTCAGCTGCCCATCTCTATGCCCCGCTCGATCCATGTTGCGAGTCGGGTTGATGTTGGTCACTGCTGCTCTCCATGTCCCCCGCTATACTTGCCGCCCTTCTCGCCGCTGAGAAGAAGGAGGAGGGGGGGGAGGAGGAGGAGGAGGAGGGAGGAGGGAGGAGGAAAGGGAGGAGGAGGGAGGAGGGAGGAGGAGGGAGGACGAGGAGGACGGGGAGGAGAAGGAGGAGGAGGAG